CAGAAGACAACATGTAGCATCAAAGCATTATGTTCCTGCCTCCAAATTTTACAGAGGCAATACATTGAGTATCATATGCTTCCACATCTCTTTGACAAACATAAACAACTTTAGGGGTTCCAAAAATCTGATAAAAATAAAAATTTTAGGGATAATTTTCTATTCAATAAAAATACAGTATTAAATGGTGTAATAAAATTAATTATGCTCAATAAATTAGTTTCAACTAATAAAGGAACTTCAAAGTTGCTTTTATCAGATCAGGCAACTTTGACACAATCCTCAGCCATCCAATTTTCCTGCTTTTTTTGCAAAAGAAAGTCTCTTTCTTATTAACCTCAGGCAGCAATGTTTTTTTTTTTTTTTTTCTAGCTTTACATCCTTTGAGGTCAGCTTCTACTAACCTTCTTGTCACTGTGTGAGTTGAATCACTTTGTTGCCTCTTGAAATTCAGCAGTCACATCAGAAGAGGTTTTTTTTCCCTATCACCTAGAGATACCCTCTTTAGCAGTTTGTTTTCTCTTGGGTTTGTAGAACTTTACCGACCTTGACCATTATGATTTTTGAAAGAATTGGTTTCATTATATCTTTTAATGTTTGTCTGTACACTATTTCTTGAGCATTCCACTTTTCTTGCAATTTTGACATAGGATAAACCTACTTTGAACAATACTGTGATTTCAGCCCTTTTAGTCTTAGGAATGTTTTCCTTTGGGGCACTTATAAATTGATACTAAACTGTTACTAAAATATTAAAAACGATTTGGCACTAGAGAATAAATTCGAAATAAATGGTTTTGCCACTTATGCTAAATAAGTAAAAATGAACACAAATCATTATTGGCACCCACCCCTACCATAAATGCTTGTGTATCATCAATTCGAGAATGATTATTATAGTGTTTTCAGGTAATATATGTACAGGTTTCAATCATATTTGTAACTTTCCTATACCTGCACCATAATTTTGTCCATAGGTGTGCGTGCGTGTGTGTGTGTGTTTATATATATATATATATATATATATATATTTTTAAGACATTTTTTTATGTTTATACATTCTTTTTATAGATACAAATATTTAAGTAACAGTATTAACAACATTTAATGTCCAAGAAATTTTCATTGAAAATATGTGTCCCCCGACAGGAATAGAACCTGTATCCTATACGGAACCGTCATATAGACTGACATGCCTTTACCAATTGGGCCACAGAGGAGTGTTTGGTTAGCAAGGTCGATTTTACTGTATTTAAACACAATTCTCCATATTTCTATGAAAATTTCTCAGACATTCAGGCTGGTTAATGTTGTTAATACTGTTTATTATAAACAGAGCATTTACTTAAATATTCGTATCTATAAAAACAATGTATAAACATAAAAGATGTCTTAAAAATAATTGTCGGACTATGTCCATTTCATAATATTTATATATATATATATATATATATATATATATATATAAATATGACACATGAATAAAAAATACATGAATGGTTAAAGGTCAGAGTTGAATCAAACCAGTAAACAGTGGTATAGAAAAGTGTAAAAAAAAATAAAATAAAAGTAAAAATAACATGTAGAGCTTTTAACTTTAAAAATCAGGAGATGTTGAATCTGCTACCCTGGTTTCAACCTTCTCAGGCAATTTTTATCAAATGACCTCTTAACGCTTTATTTTTTTTTTCAAATACTAATGAACATTATATTATTTTTTGAAAAATAAATAAACAAATGCATAACAAAGTCTTGAGTCCTTTATTAAGAAATTCCTCTTAAGCACTTATGAGGCTGGACAAAACAAAAAAAAAATGAACATTTCAATTACTCCACCACTGATCTTTTTTATAATATCCTTTCTTTTTTTCTCTTCGCCTTCTTCTTCTTCTTTTCCTTCCTTCTTCACATCCCCCTCCTCCCTTTCTATTATACCCAATATTGTGTGTTTGTGTATTTTTAATAAAAAAATAATATAGCATTAAATAGTTTTTTTTCAAAAAGTAAAGCATGAAGAGGTCATTTAATGAAAATCACCTGAGGATGCAATAAGGTTAAAACCAAGGTAGCGGATTCAACTGAGCTCCTGATTTTTAAAGTGTGAGTGTATATATATATATATATATATATATGGTCATCTACAGACTGTTTAACCATATCACAGCTCATCAGTGTGGCTAGACATCTGATTGCTTCAAGCTGGGATTGAAACTCGACGGATTTGGCATCAGTCGGCGATTTTCCCTCTGAGCTATCAGTGTCCAGTTGAAAAGAAGGCCGGCTATAATATATATATATATATACACACACACACACACACACACACACACGTATAGATTGAGAGAGTGAGAGGCTCTACATTTTTGTGGTACTGCTCTATATGGAAGAATGCATGAGGCAAACCAAAGTAAAATGTGTAGCTAGACAGGTTATATTGACCCAGCTGTGACTCAATAGATTTGTGAAGAATGTAGCCATGTTTGCTTATCTGAAGTTGAACTGAGAAATCACAGGGAGCTAATTCTATGACTGGAGGATAGAAGAATGGCTGACAGGCCTGGGGAAAGAAATGATTTATCAAAACATTATGCATAAAGGATGGGTATGTGCATTATCATGAATGTGATAATTACACAATAAGCAGACTCGGTGGATCTCACAGGGAAACTGAATAACCCCATGTGAATGTGTCTGTTCATGCATGTGCAGTAAGGTCCTCTCAAATTGGCTTCACAACTAGATATTCTAAATGGCTGGATATTTTAAAAAAATTTGTATGTATATATATATATATATATATATATAGAGAGAGAGAGAGATAATAGCTTACATATATTGCATAAATTTGAATTTCATGCTGAAGCAGATGTCAAGTGCTAGAATTATTACAATATAGAGTATATGTATTTGTATATGATCACTCACTTCTATACCTACCTATATTTACCCATTCAGCTTTATATATATATATATATATATATATATATATATATATATATATATATATATATATATGTGTGTGTGTATATATATACGTATGTCTGCATATGTATATAAAAATATATATATATATGTATGAAGAAAAATATATGGAAAAAACAAACAAAAATCCTTATATGCAATTATGCTGTTTTAATGTTAATATAATGTCAATGTCGGAGGTTTCGGTCTAATAAACCATCTTCAGGACATATTCATAAAATATAATTAACATTATCAATTCAACATGACAAAGACGATGGACATAAGAACAAGACTTATCCAAACATATATATATATATATTTTTATATATGTTATATGTTTGGATAAGTCTTGTTCTTATGTCCATTGTCTTTGTCATGTAGATGAAAATAAATACATATATAGTTTAATAAATTATCTCAAATATGGGTATTCACTAAATATAACATTTAAATTGATAAAATCTGTTGGATTAATAAATATCCATTACTTCTTTAGAAAATTGTTTACATTTGGATACAAATTATTCAGATATGAAAATTTTGAGAAAGTCTGTGACAAGACGAATTTCACTTTATGGCACTATTCAGCCTTGCCTGATCAACTAAGTTGTCCAGATATTTTTTTGAATAACCAATATATATATATATATATATATATATATATATATATACACATACCTACAGATATAGATATGCAATGTGATAGGTCCTGATCTGGCATCTTATCTAGAGTTGCTTTCTTACAGACCTGATGTCGCTTCCCTATGTTTTTTTACAAGTATTTTCCTGACAACAGCTCTGACAAGCTACTTTTACTAGTACCCCAACTACATGAATTTAGGCGTGCTACTAGGTTGGCATCTCAGTCACAACCTTTTACTTCTACACCAACAGCTTCTTCTCATGCACTTTCCATCAGTGGAACTCCCTTCTTCCTACTTGCTTCCTTGATAGCTGTAATCATCAAATATTCAAATGTAATGTCAATCAACATCTTCTGATGCCTTGATCCCAGTCTATCTCTATATCCCTTCCTCAAACACCCCTTAATCTTACTCTCACTCTCTGTAATCCTTGTATGCTAGTGGCACTCTAACCTTGCTGAAATGCTTTAAAAAAAAAAAAAATGTTGAATTCAACTTAAATGTGGGACCCAATTGCGATCAAAATATATACAAAGCACAAACATTAATGATTTACACTATTTACATTGTTCAAGCTGTTGTCCACCTCTTTTTTGTCATATTCACAATATTTTGGCCATTGTATGCACTGACCTTCTTCAAGGACACATGGCCCTGTGGATAAAAGCATTGGTTGAAGTAATCCACTGACTTGACCCAAAGAGTTGTGAGTTCAATACCTGGCCACATCAGAGGTGAATAAAAACTTGGAGACTGAGATATCCAGAAGAGTCATGGCACATTAAACTAAAACAATCAACTTCATTGGATGAAATAAAGGGCTTGGTTTGAAATTCCAGTCACTTGAAGGAGGTTGAAGCATACAATGGCCAAGAAACATTGGGAATATAACAACAAAGATTAGGACAACATTCCAAACAATGTAAATAGTTTAAATAATTACAATACCTCATCTCAGAAATATAGATAAACATGTATGAATCCTAAAACTCCCATTTTTACAGTAACTAAAATTCAAAAAACTTATATATGGACAAATTATTTAAACAAATTTTATTTTTTTAAAAATTCTAACAAATTGCTTTTTTAAAGTAACATTAATGTTTCATTCAAAAAACTTCATCCATAAATTTCATTAGTGAATGCTAATTTATTAAAAATCTTTATCATTGAAAAGTTATATGCGTTATGTCTCCTTTAAATTTTTTCCCAAACCAGATTTTCTTAACTATTTTAATAATTGGCTATAATAGAAAAAAATGCTAATCTCAATAAACTTTCATATTTGCAAAATTCTTATATGACAATAATTTTTTTTCATAATTGATAAAGAAAACTACTTTCAGCACAAATAGAATTTTGATAAGTTTATATACATAAATTATAACCTACCTGTCCATGAGAAATGTAGTTTGCCTGCTTAAAGATTGTCCATATGACAGTTTCATAACAACCTGGTGTAGTCAGTGAGCCATTATATCGATAAAATTTAGATGTATCTTTTGGAAGAAAATTTCTGATTGACTGGGCATTTATTTTAACTTTTGGATGTCCTGAAAAAACAACAGAGAAGAAATTTGTAATTTCTGTTTTTTCTCAGAGAATCATTTAACAAAATTGAATAAGAGAAAATTTGTTAGATTAAAATTATGTCATTGCGAAAAAAGAGGTTTGAAACTGAAGCAAAAATACACTGTATAACTTGAATGCCATGGGCATAGTCAGTATGAAAAATGTGTTGAGTTATTTATGAAGATTAATCTGGCAAAAGGCCAAAGTCGTGAGAGCACTCAGTGGCATGTGAATTGGTCTGCTAAACAATGATAAATGGTCCAACAAATATATATATAGCTGTTATGAAATCAATTAGGAAGGCAAATATTTTAGAAATCTTCCTAAAGCGAGTAGTAATAATAATAATAATAATAATTGATTTCTTTTTTATGGTAGGAGTATAAAAATGATCAATAACTTTTAGCCAAAATGAAGATGTTTTCTTCCTTTTCTTTCAAATATCTTTTATTAAATCTGACTTACTTTAATGAATGTTATTTCAACAAACCTTATTTATTCTATGAGACTATAATATTTTTGGAGAGACTTTTGTCAATAATCAATTGTAACAAGAATTCTGCCATCAAATTCTTATGGCATCTTGAAATTTTAGAGTTTGAATTTGAAGCAAAGAGTTCCAAACAGTCTCCTCTTTTTACTAAGATTATATTTCTCTTCTTGTTGCCTCTGTAGGTATCAGATTTTCAAAATATTCTCTGGAAATTTCAAAATACACTCCAAAGTTAAAAAAAAATAAAAAAATTGTGTTGATGCTTTAAGCCTATTCCTGCAAAAAGAAAATATATATGATGTGCCCAAATGGCATACATATGGTACCATTGACGAAAACCAACATGCAGAGAACCAGATCTGAGGTAGAATTCATAAGTTTGAAGGAATTATGGTTTTCAAGGGTTGGGGTTAGAGTTTTCTCTTTTTTATGTCCACTATCAAGTATTGACCATTTATTTATTATTTTCTTTTACTAATCATCACCTTATAGAAATTCCAAGAGCCACTCAAGGTAGAGGGTTACTGAATGAGGTGTTTGATATGTAAGAGGATGTAGAAGGAAGTGATGTTTATGAGGATATGGAATATAGATAGATAATGATTAACTCTTGACTTGAAGAGGTTGGTAGTAGTATTCAGGGATGCATCCAGTATGTCCCACAAAAGCAGCATTCTTAGGAAGAAGCTTTCAGAGTGGAACACCCTTCTTACCAATGAAATACATAGGGAATGGGGGTGATTCAACCCTGTGGATGTAGCAAGACAGATCTTGGTTGTAAAGATGTAAGCTAGTGCCACTAAAGGATACAGTTTGTCTCAACATTTGCCATGGAAATAGATTAAAGATAGGTTAACAACATTTTATTTTGGGGAAAGGAACTGTAGGATGGATTATGCCCTACAAGGCTGCGTAAACAATTTTGAACTCTGCCATGGCTAGAAAAGCAGTCAGCAGTAGACAATTTTCGGTCTGCTCTGATTCTTGTAATGAGAAATAGCAGAAGGTGTCAGGTACTTCTCAGAATCATGCAAAGAGCCTGACCATTTTTTATAGTAATGGATTGTATTGTATTGTTTTGGTGCATAATTATCAGGCATTTTTAAACAAGTTCAACAGTGTATTATAGTTGTATCTGCAATTACAAGGTCTCTACTACAACAAGCATTACAAAAGCGACAACTAGTATTCGTTGGCATCACAAAAGTGGTAACAAGTGTTTGTTGACATCACAAAACTTTTAAAATTCCCTATTGCTCACATGCTGCATCTATGACATCCTTATCATTTATTGGTAGAACCACATCTCTGTTGCTTCAAGTTTCATCTTCATCCATGAGAAGATTGTCCAGCATTTTCTGTCAGATAGGAGATTAGATATTACATGACAGTTTCTAATTTCTTCATACTTTGCTTATTTTCTGGAAGGCATCTTTTGCTATTCCAATATGCCCTTTGATTTCTGTTATCTGTTACTGCACTACCCAGATAGTTAAATTGTTGTACTGGCTTGTTTTTGACATTTCCAATTTGTAGCTCACACCTTGGGAGGTCAATCTTGTTAATGGCCATACATTCTCTAATTTTATATTCACAGTCTATCCCCACCACCAAAAAAAAAATCCCAAAAACCTGATGTTAGCTCAGATTTTCAAAAGAGTTTTTCAACTATTCCGCATGTACATATATATATCATAAAATATAACATAAAATATATTTTTCAATTTATTATTAATGCAGTTATGTATTTGTATGATATCTCTGAATATTGTGTAAAAATTTTACATATACTGGGGATCAATTTTAAAATATCTGATCAGATTAGAGGGGGTGCAAAATAAAATATCTGAGGCTGAAAACTTAAGTGTTTTTGAAGGCATTAATGTTTGTATCCATGCAGAAAATAATGAACTTTATTTTGAAAGACACTTATCAATTAATAAGTCTAACATTTAATATCTGCAATTATAAAGAAAATAGTAGGGAAGACTGTGCCCTCTAGCCTTGGTTAGCAATCCGTGTAGTAGAAGGCAACAGGAACCAACTTCGCTACTTTTTACCAAGAATGATCATGGCAATATACAGTTTGCAATGAATAAAAAGCAAAAAAAGAAGCTGTGGAGAAATGTATTCACTTCTATCCATGAAGGTACATGAGAATGTTTAATATTATAATATCATTCTATATTAAGTCTTCTAGGGAAGAACTCAACTGAAAAATCACTTTAGTTTGTAAAGAAATGTGTTGTCTTCTGCTGGCAGATAAAAACCTGGATCTTGAATGCATTCACCATGCAGTAGATTCCATCAGGAGCATGAATTTTGGTCACAATAAGCAGCTTTTCCTTTGAAACAGATTTGTATAAGAAGAATAAAATGTTACTTCTTTGATTCTCTTCGTATATAAATGGTCCAAGCAAGCAGCTATACTTTGAAAGGAATTTCACTGTAGAAATAAAATAAGTTTCGATTTCTGTCTGGTTTGACACTTTCATCAAGTTAACCGGGATTCTTGATGTATTTTCTCTTTTGACTACATCCAATGCTTTTTCTCTTTTAAAGTCAGTATTATCTTCTTTTTGCTTCTTCGGTGCAAGAATTCTATTTTGTCTGCAACTAGTGTAATAGCCATCAGCATGGAAAGTGTCTTTTTTTGTCTTTTGTCATACCATTTTATTTACTTTTCTCTCTGACTTAAAAACAAGGCTTCAGGACTATGAAAAATGTTTAATCCATAAAGAAACTTTGGAATCTAGCATGGCTGATCATGTATAGAGAGCTCTGGCAATTAAAAAAAATAATAGTATAGAAATGAATACAATATGGAACCAGTAATAAGGAGTGCCAGAGAAAAGCAACAAAAATTGCAATATGAGCTCTGGTAAAAAACATGGAATGATAACAGCAAAAATTGCAATATGGGCACTGGTAAAGATGTTTTTTGAAGACATTAGGTTTATAATACCCAGAAATTCATACACAGATGTCTAGTTCCACGTACCATATTTAATGGATATCAGTTATCTCCTGTTAATTCCCCTCTCCAAGTTCTCCACTGCCTTAACTGGGTTTTGAACTCACACTCTTTGGGTCCTGTCACTGGATCTAACCAATGCCTTTATCCACTGTGCTATATGTCCTTGAGGACATTGCACGTGGAACAAGAACAGTGTACCCCAGTGAGCAAAATAAAGTGTTCAGTTGGACATTACAGCCACATGAAGAAGGCCGGAGCGTACAATGACCAAAATGTTGTAACAAATATGGCGACAAGGATGAGGACAATAGTCTGAATACTGTAAATAGCATACATAATACCTCATCTCAGAAATATAAACAGATACTGAAGGGCCGAAACGTAATAAATATGGTGACAAAGATGAGGACAATAGTCCAAATAATATAAATAGTGTACATAATACCTCATCTCAGAAATATAGACAGATACTGAAAGGCCGAAACGTTGTAATAAATATGGCAACAAAGATGAGGACAATAGTCCGAATAATATAAATAGTGTACATAATACCTCATCTCAGAAATATAGACAGATACTGATTTTGCTTAGTTCTTCTTTTTGTCTTATTTCATGTATGACAGCAGTAAAAAATTTTTTTTTCATATTCTATGAGTGTTAAGTAAGCAATAAAAATGAGAAATTATGTCGCCTCTGGTGAGAGTATTGGAATTATAGGAATATAATCAGCTTGTTGATTGGTCTGTCAAGAATATTGTATCTTACTTCTAACCTTTCCTTTTAAATGATTGTAGAATGAAAAAGGATCTTAATAGTGAAATAAAAAATAAGATGAAAGAAAAACTCATCAAAATTAATATTTCCTGATTCATTACAGAAATTTGAAAAAGTACATCAACTACTGCTATTTAGAGAACAGATAGAATTTGAAAGAAATGAGGAATTGTCTATTTTTCATTTCTTGTTTGGATTTCATTATCTGATGGCATCACAGAAACAAAAATTGGATAATGATCGACATACATGATTCCTCTATCAGTCAAAATAATAGACATGTGAAGATGACTGGCTAAAATGTCTATAACAATTGAAGAAAACAATGCTTGAACTAAATTGAGCAAGTGAAGAAAGTACTAGTCAAAAATTAATAATAACAATGCTTCAACTAAGAAATTTGGTCAACTTAAGATTATTACATTTACTAATATTAGTTCGAAGTAAAATATACTATTGGATAACAAAAAATTCACCTATATAAACTAAAATTTGAATTTGACTGCCAATCAGTCTCTGAGATCAAATTAGTAAATCATTGTCTGTATATGAGGCGGATTTCCAAAGATGTGACTCTAGAATTTGCTGGAGGATATTTATGATTCATGGTATTAGTTCGATGACCAAATATTTAAACAATTTGAGAATTTTGATAAACTGTAACAAAAATAAAAACAACAGTTCTAGAAAATTAATAATGAAAGCACTTCATCTAAGAAATTCAAACGAGATTTTTGATAGCTTATATCTGTCAAAATACTGACAACTAATGAAATTAAATTTCTCAATTTTGTTAAATTTATGTTCTTTCATTTTTTTTTATGTCTTGAAGAAAAGTATGATTAGTTTTTATTTTATTTCTTATTCAATATACTTACCAGGTTTCTGAATCTCTCCAAAGACGTCAATAACTGGTTTTAAAACTGGGTTATCTTCATCTGTCACCTGATTTGAAAATTTAAATTGAGTTACTTTTTTTTTTGACTTCATCTATTATTTAAAGTTATGATGAAATTTGACATTTTTTTCATTTTCTTCCAAGATTTACCAAATGTATATCACACAGAAATTTTTACCTGATGGCAATATTAAAGTGTTTGATTAACTATCATTTTCTACATATTTGCAAGCCATACATTCAAATTAAAAAAAAAAGTTTATAAGAGAAATTTCCAGGAATTGATTATATTTTAATTTTATTTTATGAGAGTGAAACTTTGTTTTAGTTTGAGAAATAGATTTTGTACAATTTTATTGTTCACTTTAATTTGTAAAGACATATTTATTAAAATTAATTGTCATTCTTTGTATTATGAATAAGAACATAGAAATTTTTTTTTAATTTTTGGATGATAAATTTATATTTATCTCTACACATAAATGTCGGGCAATGCTGGAACAAAATTTAGCGCTTTGTTTTTGTTTTTTTTTCTATCAGAAACCTTGTTATTAGAAAAAGGTAAAGCATTGCTTTTATATAGATAAATATACAAAAAGAATGAAAAATAATTAAAAAAGGGATGTCTGCTCAAACGTTTAAAGTTAGAAATAACTACATATTTTTTAAGAACATTGTGTAAATAAAAAAATTGCACATTTTCTTTCATTTATGCAAGAAGTAAAAAATAAAAAATAATAACATTTTTCTTTAAAAAAAAATAAATACAGTATTACAATTTCTGTTAGTTTTTTGTATTTTTAAATAAAAAATCCGTCAAGGGCTGATTGCTTTGTTTTCTACTAACAATTTTAACAACTCAGTTATACGATGACACATGAGTTATTTCTTTGAGGTTTTTAGATAAGATCTCCTTTGTTAAAACATAAATGACATTGGTGTATGCGTGCATATGTGTGTATTTATATATAATTATTTAAAAACTTAGTTTAAACTTGCACAATACATTTCAGGTGAGACAACCTATAAGGATTGGTCACAGTACAAATGTGAATGGTCTTTGAAACTAGCTTAACTAATATTCACTGTAAGGTGAGATATATATATAATATATATATATATATATATATGTATGTGTGTGTGTGCAAATATATAGAAAAATAGGAAAGAACACGTTAGGTAAATAATCTGGAGTTCTTTAATTCCTAAATTTTCGCTTGAGGATGAAACAGGAATTGATACTTTAATTCAATTTAATTTTAATAATTATATTGAGGTTTTTGGCTCTTGTTTTTGAAACATGAGAACTCTGGTGCATTGTGGGTAGTCTATTTTGGTGGTTATTTTGCTGGAAGTCGTTTATTTGCTTATTTATTTGGGTTAAATTATTTTGCTTGTTTTTATTTATTTTTATTTTTTATCTTATATGTTTATTTTTTATTTTAATTTTAATCAGTGTTATTAATGTAGTAAAAATTTGTTTATATCACTTATTTAATATACATATATATAATAATAATAATAATTGACTCTCCCGTCGAGATTCGACGTATGAGGGTCAAGCAGATCAGTTTCCAGGAAACCGACAGCCCGACACCGGCACATGAGATTTGATTATAGTGGTGAAGGCCTCGTGCAGAACCATCCACACTTTTTGAAGGGACGAATACAGAGACCTGGTGCACCGAATGCCACAAGGTTCCCAAACGTCCCTCCGCAGGTTTTGAATTCAGAGTTGTCCTTCTTCCAAGGCTAAAGAACCCAGTCTGTCCTGCTATTTTACCCATAGCTGGAGGGAGAGGAAGAGGATTCATACCTTTCCCAAGGGTATTAGCACGTAATTGAATGTAATGGATTCGACTGGAATTTGAACTCGGCTCTGCGATTCCTCAATCCAAGCCGCTATCCATTACTCCACCATGCCTCCTCTTATATATATATATATATATATATATATATATATATATATATATATTTATTTATTTATCTTCAGAATGAAGGCATTTAAAATATTTTATCAAATGTTGATTTAGTGCACAAAATCTGACACTGAACAGATTGGCTTATATTTGTTAAAATATTTTTACAAATTTTGTCTGTGAATTTTATGGTACCTTATTTGTTAATGAACTGCTCTTTGGATAAAATTCTTTGGTCACTTAAACTGCTGACTCATTTTTTTTTTGTTTAAAATTGAACAAATATGCAGAAAGTATCCAATTTTCATGGTCAAGTTAATTATTATCTCTGTAGAATGCTCACTGGTGTAGGAAGTGTCTTTCTTCTGGCTACTCCAGATTATTTTTCAATAAAATAAAGATGTTTTACTGCAATTATTGTAATGTATCTGTCTATATTTCTGAGATGAGGTATTATGTACATTATTCACATTATTCAAACTATTGTCCTCATCTTTGTCACCATATTTATTACAACGTTTTGGCCCTTCAGTATCTGTCTATACTTCTGAGATGAGAAGGTGGAGAGTTACATTTGAATTCCAGTGATAGGTATGAATCCATCTCCCCCCCTACCTATGGGTTAAATAGTAGGACTTGTATCTGGAAAAATCATTGTTACTCTCAAAAGATTGTTAATGCAATATTCATTTGCAAGAAATGAATTATCCTTACAATCTAAAACATACTTTAGCTCTAAATAACCTCCAAAGGGACGATAAGACATAAAAAAAATAAAAATAATCAATCAGGTAACTGTCAGGGAATTTTGAATTGAACCCCTTATTTAATTGACTGACGTAGATTGCTCTCATTTTGCTGGAACGTCTAGGAATATGATGCCTTATTCTTATTTAGTATAGCTTGGCTAATATTCAATCAGTAAAGACTTACCTTGAACATTATGCCTAACACAGCAAGCCCAAGGGGATTGGTCATTGCTTCTTGAAGACTGCTATATTTTGAATGATCATAGTTTACAATGTGAAGCTGAAAGATGAAGAAAAAGATTACATAAATTTCATTCATTGATGTGTTTTTTTTTTTAATTATTCATTCAAATTTTCATATGAAGTATTTTCATTATTGTAACTGTCTTTACTACATCTTAGGCGTAAACTGATAATATTGATATAAGATATAAGACAAGACGTAAAGTGATAATATTGATATAAGGTATAAGATGTAAATTGATAATATTGAAAGTGTTTCATCTAAAAGACTGTTGTCTTTTAGATGAAACACTTTCAATATTATCAATTTACTGATAATTTTACTTCATTGCTTTAATGACTTTTTGAGCAGGAGAGAGCTGCAACCCTCTCTGTTGGAAGTGGTCAGATGATTTGAAATCAATAAACTTTGTTTCCTGTTTAACACTTAACATCTTGAATCAAGAAACCTCGTTCCTTTTTAGATCATCTCTGTTTGCCCTCTATCGTCCTTTAACATCAAGAAAAGAGAAAGTTCTAATAATTATTATTGAAACAATATTTCACTCAAGCACCTTCTTCCCAAGAACTGTTTCTTTGTGAAACAGACTCCTAAGGGGATGCTTCCCTAATCACTACAATCTTATCTTTTTCAAGTCTAGGGTCAACTGTTATCTATCCTATATATCCTTATGATATATATACTTCTTATTTCCTTCTCTTTGTACTTCTTACTTTCTGCTCCAACAACCTCATTCAATAACTCTCTACCTTGAGTGATTCATGGCCCTTGTATTGGGCCTGCAATAATATAAAAAAGTACCAATAACATTTTTGAAAGAGTCAAATGATCATTATATAGATATTTACTCATTTGAGTTTAAGATATGATCACTGTTAGAATCAAATTCATTAAACAGTAATAATACTAGGGTAAACTGGCTTGCTAATTCAGTGCCCATATTACTAATATATAGTTAATGTGCCAAAAATATATATCAATGCTCTGAGCCCTTCCTCATGAAAATATTAAGATTATATAGGCCAAATTCTAATTCTTTACTGGAACGTTTGTTGTTAATCCTCCATTTACAGAGGTGTTGGTTTGGTTTGGTGACTCTTTTTACTTCAAAGGTTTCAGTCTTCTGATTTCCAATGCATACATGAACAGACTTGGCAAAGATCCTGAAAATAGCTAAAGTTAGATGCTCAAAAGATCTTTTATCAACAGGTTGCTTCTAGTTCTCATCAAATCAGGCCAGCTAGTAAATAAAAAGATAAAACACATCATTACTACATTTAAATAACAACAAACAGACTCCAAAAACCAATTTTGCTGACAGCTTCAGCTGGATGGACTCAGATAAAACACAATCAAGAAATAAAATGAATTGTCACTACTTGTTTTTCTGCCCATTTTAAAAAAAGCAAACAAACAGAATACAAAATGACCCAAGTTTGTTTGTTAAAACCTTTTTTCTCTCTTTCTTTTCTTTTACTTGAAATCTTCAAAAGCCAGCATCATTTACAAGGTGTTTGGGCTTAAACAAAATTATGTAAATAATCACAATTGTTCAAACCCTGAAATTTCTTCTTTGTAAAGTTTCTGTTGTTAATGCTAATTCTTCTTCTCAAAGTTATTGACAAAAGTTTTGTGGATTCTTTTCTTAAGGAATATCTCACTATGTGTGATGTTTGTATTTCCCCCAACCCCTAAAAGTTCTATTTCATTTTATTTTTGTTGAGAAAGGACACAAGTCTCTTAAAAAAATCTTGACTTTTGACATTTTTCTCATGATGCTGCATTTTGTCTAATAATGTACAATAAATATTATTATTATGTATTCTGTCTTTTTTGAATTTATTTCATTAGCCTTCTATTATATATATCTGATTGGGAAGAGTTTGTTTCCTAAAAACAGTTCATGTAGACTCTGCAAATTTGGTATGCAGACTTATTGGGCCCAGGAGAAGTTTTTAACATGGAATATGTGTACCTCTTTTTTTCTGTTATAATTCAACAGTAACAATTACTGTTTTTAACTGTTTTGTATAAGACTATAATTTTTTTTTTTTTTTTTTTTATCCTGAAATGTCCTAGAAAAAATATTTGAAAAAGTAATTTCCCCCAAACATTTTTCAGAATAATCCTTCATTGCAAACTAATTAGGTTGAAATCTATTTAGTTTTTATTTTATGCTACTAATTGCTTATGACCAGTGTCACTGAAAATGAAACTTGACACCTGTAGATAATAATTATAATTATGAGATTAGAGTAAAACTGGAGAAGTTACCTAGCAGCATTCATCTTCTCTACATGTATGATGAGACAAGTTGTGTGAAGTGCAGGAAGTTATCTAGCAGCAACCATCTCTACAAAGCTTATATAGTACCAAAACCTAGTGAAAATCTCTAACCTGACTCAGCTCTCTTTTTACCCAACCATGGTTGTATACAAATGTCAAAAAGTGATGTAATGTCTTTGTTCAAAATAGCCGAGAATTAAGAAGGCCATAGTTAGAGAGAGTATCGAAGGAATGGAAGATTATGTAGAGGAAACAAAGAAGAGGTTTGTTAAATACTCATGCATAGAATGGAAAAACAACTACTACTCAAATCCTACTCTAACGTGGCTACTTGCCATATTTATAAGTAGGAGCAGTCCATTGTCACAGCAGTAGGGAAGAGCAGGAAGGATGCTGAGTCCTACTATCCAACAATAAGAGTGCAAAGGAATTGAACTCATAATTCTATTTACTAGGAAGTAGTGTAAAGTGAATGCAAGCAACCAATCTTGGAATTGAATTCTTATTTCAATTTCCTTTGTTTATAATTTTGCTGACAATGTTCCTCTGCTTCTGTTCTTCTATGTATAGAATATCTTTTAAAACAAATTGTTTAACTGCTTCTCCTGACAGCCTACACTTGACATCATGTCACTTCTTTTATATATATATATATATATATATATATATATATGAAGAAATATAGTCTTAAGGTGTGCTATATTTATGGGATAAAGTGCTTGATATCAGAGATAGAGCATGTGTAAATATAAAAGTGAACATAGAAGTCAACACTTAGAGGTGACAGTCTGTTTCATGCTATATGCAATCATCAGGCCACGTGTGCTGTTATTTTTCTTGGCTATTTATACATATACGGGTCAGTGGTGCATTGTGGGTAGTCTATTATGGCGGTTATTTTACCGGAAGTCGTTTATTTATTTATTTGGGTTAAATTATTTTGCTTGTTTTTATTTAATTTTATTTTTTGTTTCTTATTTTATTTATTTATTTACTTATTTTTTTAATCAGTGTTTTTTATTAACGTAGTAAAAATTTGTTTATATCACTTATTTAATAGTTTTGTTTTGGTTTGAGAATTTAATTAAAGCTATTTGTTCCGTTTGGGGGTTGGTTGTTGTAGTTTTATTCTAACTATTATTTTGGCAGAAACAGTTTTTAATTTGTTTTTATTTGGGTTGATTATCTTTATTTGTTTTTTCTAATGGTAACTTTATCGGGATTGGTTAGTTTATTTACTTGGATGAATTTAGGTTAATTTATTTTACTTCTATATTTTCTGTTTTTGATTTTTAAGTAACGTAGTATTTATATATTTATTTTTATTTTTTTTCTCATTATATAATAGTTATAGCGATGTTTTTCGTCCAATTTTTTGGTTTGATTATTTAGTCTAACTAATATTTTGGTCATAATGGTTTGCTACTTTGTTTATTATTTACTTTACTTTATTTATTTGGGTTCGTTGTTTTTTGTTTTGTTTTTTTTTTGTTATTATTATTATTATTCTATTTCGTCTATTCTAACAGGTGTGATTTGGTAATTTGTTTGGATTAATTAATTTTGCTTATTTTATTGTTATTTTGTTTATTAATTTGTTTTTATTTTATTTTTTCCGTTTTCAATTTTTAAGTAACGTAGTAAAAATTTGTTTTCATGTCTGGATTTTGAGATGAGCTCGGATCTTTTATTTAATAATTTATTTTGGTCTGGGAAAGTAATGATAGCTATTTTTTTCTCCAAGCAAAGTTTGCAAGTTTTTGATTGGTTGTTGTAGGCTGGTGATCTTTTCCTTATTTTCCAAGATATTTTTGGTGTGATGTGGGTTTTGTTTTTAATTTCCCAGATATACTTAGAAAGCATTGTACTGTTCGCATATTTACTATTTGTGAAACAAATAAATAAACAAGTAAACAAAATAACAATAAAATAAGCAAAATTAATTAATCCAAACAAATTACCAAATCACACCTGTTAGAATAGACGAAATAGAATAATTATAATAATAACAAAAAAAAAACAAAACAAAAAACAATGAACCCAAATAAATAAAGTAAATAATAAACAAAGTAGCAAACCATTATGACCAAAATATTAGTTAGACTAAATAATCAAACCAAAAAATCGGACGAAAAACATCGCTATAACTATTATATAATGAGAAAAAAATAAAAATAAAAAATAAATATATAAATACTACGTTACTTAAAAATTGAAAACAGAAAACAGAAAATATAGAAGTAAAATAAATTGACCTAAATTCATCCAAGTAAATAAACTAACCAATCCCGATAAAGTTACCGTTAGAAAAACAAATAAAGATAATCAACCCAAATAAAAAAATTAAAATTAAAAACTGTTTCTGCCAAAATAATAGTTAGAATAAAACTACAACAACCAACTCCCAAACAAACAAATAAACTTTAATTAAATTCTCCCAAAATAAAACTATTAAATAATAATATAAACAAATTTTAATTAAAAAACACTGATTAAAAAAATAAGTAAAATAAATAAAATAAAAACAAAAAATAAAATTAAATAAAAAAAAGCAAAATAATTTAAAAATAAATAAACGACTTCGGTAAAATAACAAATAATTACCCACAATGCACCACTGACCCATATATGTATAAATAGCATAAAAATCACTGATTAAAAATAATGAAACAGACTGTCACCTCTAAGTGTTGAATATGTTCACTTTTTTGTATATATATAAAATATAATATATATAATAAAAAATGCTA